TGTAACACGGACGGACTCAGGTTATTTTAGCCCCAAAAATTTGGGGTGATTCTATTTTTGAAATTCAATTTTAGAATTTGAAAATTTAGGGTTTCCTAATAAAAAGATACTCTTATTAAATATCGATAAATTCTGCCATTTTTGAATAAAATCAAGCTCAAACATTTGTCACATGATAGGAAATGTACTGCGAATTTAAATGAATTGTTAATTATATATAGTGAGCCATGACTGCAAACAAAAGTTGTTTTGATTTGTTATGACTTATTTTGACGTTAAGCTGACATTGTTAGCAGTGTGAAATTACTAGATTAAAATCAAATTTTTTATTAAATCGATTTAAAATGCCAAGATTTATAGACAGAGAACTGACTGACATACATTGTGTGTACGGGTTTTGCAATGGCAGTTCATTGGCAGCCGTAAGAGAATATCAAAGAATTTCCCAATCGCATAGTACCTGAACGTCGAATGTTTACTGATATTCACCGGAATTTGTCAAACCATGGAAGTTTTCAGCGCATGCAGGACACAGAAAGGCCACTGGGAAATCATCGTGTATATTGCTTTAAATATGTTTGAAAATATGGATATACCTCGATCAATAGTAAGAAAAATTTATGAATACCTATTTGATAGTTATCCTAAAAATAATAATTTTAGATAGGAAGAATGACAAGAATGCAAGGATTACATCCCTATCATTTTAAACGGGTGCAGCATTTAACGGAAGCAGATTTTTTACCACGAATCGAGTTTTGCCAGTGGATATTAGCAAATGAAAACACTATTCCTAGAATATTATGGTCCGATGAGTCAATATTTACTAGTACTGGTGCTTTTAATTTCCATAACATGCATCACTGATCAGATGAAAATCCAAAACTTGTTCGCCGTACAAATTTCCAACATAGATTTTCATTGAACTTATGGGCTGGAGTAATTGGGGATCAAGTAATTGGGCCTACTTCCCAATCGTCTTAATTCAGAGGTGTATCTGAACTTTCTTCAGAATGAGCTCATGGATATAATACCATTGGATGTGCACCAGCAGTTTCAAGAAAATATGATGGCGCACCTGCACATTTTGGACGCAATGTTCGAAATTGGTTGAATGTCAATTTTCCAGACGAGTGGTTAGGCCGAGGAGGTCCTATAGCGTGGCCGCCACGTTCACCTGACCTAAGTCCATTGGATTTCTAATTTTGTGAGTCATTAAAAGACCTAGTTTACTCGACTGAAGTAAATACTCAAGAAGATTTACTTCAAAGAATCCATCAGGCTGCAAATGAAATAAGAAGAAAAAGGTTTTCCACTTTTCGGGCTACGCAATCATTAGTTCGTCGAGCGAGATAATGGAATTTATTTGAACACTTATTGTAAAGCTAGTTTTAAGTATATCCAACTGTATGTCTTCTTTTTTAAAAAAATTTCAATTTCGTTCGAAAAAATTTATTTCTTTTGTCTTTGCCTAAATGCCACCATCAATTATATAAGCTATGTTGAAATAGAAATATGTATTTATGTAATATTTACCAATCATTTAGTTAGTTTTTTCGTTGCCATGACTAATTATTCAACAATTCATTTAAATTCGCAGTACATTTCCTATCAAGTGACAAATTTTTTAGTTTGATTTTATTCAAAAATGGCACAATTTATCGATATTCAATAAGAGTACCTTTTTTAAAACCCTAAAATTTCAAATTCTAAAATTGAATTTCAAAAATAGAATCACACAAAAATGTTGGGGCTCAAATAACCTGAGTCCGTCCCTGTTACATACGCTTAGAAACAAAACTGTCTAAAACTGTTAATATTTTTAAATCCAGCATTAAAAACGAGGCTAAAATACCAAATTTAATATAATATATCTTAAATATTAAGGAAAAACCATTTCCAGGGGAGCCCCTTTAAAAGACCTTAGCGCCCTTAGGGGACGTTTGTCGACCTATGTTTATATAAACTTTTCTTCCAATTTTAAGCTCTAGAAACCGCTGGTAGAATATTGCACACTTTTTTCGGGACACCCTCTATAGTATCAATCTACTTGACGCTATTTTTATATCATATTTTTGAGTGAAATCGAGTCCATCGTTTTTAGCCCAGAGATTCGCACATTGTGGAAAATTTGCATCTTTATCTTTTTATTCAATTTGCTCTTGATAGCTACAACAAACTAAAAACTATTGTTTGTTTTTTGAATATGGATAAATAAATAGTCGTTGCAGATGTTTTCTTTATCTTATATTGATTAAAGTTCTCGTAATAACAGCTTAAAGCTCAAGTTGTTCACTTTTACCGGGTCTCCCCTACGTGCTTGTGTGTATGAGAATAAAATAAGTCCGGCTGACGTCAAAAACACGCCATTGAACCATCAAAAAAAGTAATAGGCTTCTCTGCGGTTCGTCGTCTAAGAAAGAATCCTTTCTTATCAATATGTGCCATAAAGGGCCACATTCGAGTTAAGGGAACGATACAGGATTACCTTCACGACCCTTTTCGCACTGTTAATAGTTTTTTAGTGGGAATTTATTGGACTTTGTGTCTCGATCTTGTTTATTGGAGACTTATCTTACCAAAGGAGGCCTTAAGGAGAATGGATCGTTCGAGCTGATGGAGTCGTAACATTGGTTGCTAAGAGTATTTACTCACTGATTATTAAAATGTACTAAGTGACGTATAAATCCGAACACCCAGTTGAAATGGCTTTATTTTAATAAAAGTTGGTGAATGTATTTATCTTACTGTAAATAACAAGTGAAAAAATTTTCAGCCTTATCAGTTGGACATTCCGGTTTTTATACTGCTTTTTTTTTAATTCACTAACGCTCTAAAAATGAATATTTCAGCCGCAGTAAAGAATCAACGTTAGCGGATTTTGGTTCTTGACATCCTTTACGATCGGTTACGATGCCTAAAGTACGGAGACCTGTACGATTTCGTCAACTTAGTGAGTTTGATAGGGGCCGTATAGTGGGACTTCGGGAAGCTGGACTTTCTTTTCGGGCAATTGCAGTTAGAGTGCAAAGAAGTGTAGACACTGTGGTTAGGTGTTGTCAGGCATGGCTTCGAGAAGGCCGTACGCAAAGAGCAAGGGGCACTGGACGCCGCCGTAGAACAACAGACCGTGAAGATCGCCGCCTAAGATTATTGGCCTTAAGGGACCGTTTCTCCACTACCAGGTCCATTGCAAATGAATGTTTTGCAGAACACGGAAGACCTATTGGCATGCGAAGTGTTTACCGACGAATGAGAAGTTTTGGCTTGTTTTCATACCGGCCACACTGGGTCCTCCCTTTAACTCGAGAACACCGACGTAATCGCCTTGAGTGGTGCAGACAACGGTCACTCTGGGATCAGGAATGGAACAGTGATGAGTCTCGATTTTGTTTAGGCATGCACGACGGTTGTGTCAGGGTTAGAAGGCGACGTGGTGAAAGGAGGAATCCACAGTTTTTTGTTGAAAGACATGTTCATCACACTGTTGGAGTTATGGTTTGGGGTGCTATAGCTTATGGTTCCAGGTCACCTTTAATCTTCATCAGAGGTAACATGAACGCGCAGCGTTATATCCACGAAGATAATGCCCGACCACATGTTGCAAGAGTTACAATAAACTTCTTTCAACATAATGATGTCACATTGTTACCATGGCCACCAAGATCTCCCGACTTATCCCCAATTGAGCACGTGTGGGATATGATGGGTAGGGGATTGCTCAATTTGCAACGTCCTCCTCAGACTCTAGAAGCACTTCGAGAGGAGTTGGTGGTTGCCTGGAATGAAATACCACAGGAGGACATTGACCACCTGATCAGAAGCATGCCTAGGCGCGTTGGAGAATGCGTAGCACATCAGGGTACATCCACACATTATTAAAGGTCAAAGGGCTTCAAAGCAGTGCAATCATTTTGAAATTTTTATCATTTACTTATTATGCTTCATTAAGTACTTATACAAAATTTTATTAAAATAAAACCATTTAAACTGGGTGTTCGGATTTATATGTCACTTAGTATAGCTTCAACCAGCTTCATCATTCTGATAGACGTACATTAGGTCATCATATATTGTAAAATAAAAAATTGCAGATTATGGATGGCCTGACTTTACAAAACTCTTTTACCCAACTGCTACGAAGTCCAGAAGAAACCCATTCGCACTGAGTCAAATAAAATAAATTCACTATTTATTTTACTGTAAATATTTATGAAAAGCACGGAAACATGCCAATTTTATGTCCAAAATAACCTCTTATTGCTAAAGAATCTAATCATTCAACATCTTCTGGATGGATGTAATAACCCCTTAATTTACAAAGCAGGATGGAAGGGGCCTTGCACTGCATCGCTTGAAATGTTTTTCTTATTGAAGAATTATCAAATTAATTGTTTCCAATTAAATTCAGTCAAAATTTATTGGACTTTGTGTCTCGGTCTTTTTTATTGGCGACTCATCTAACCAAAGATTGAGGAGAATGGGTCTTTCGAGTTAATGGAGTGGAAACATTGGTAGCTCAGGGTATTTACTCACTGATTAAGAAAACAGCTTCTTCCGGCTTCACCATTCCGATGACATCGTATGTAATAAAATAAAAAAAATGTAGATTATAGATGACCTTACTTAGCAGAAGTCTTTAGTCCTACTCAGTGGCGTAGCTTGTTCTTGAGGGGCACTATGTCAAAATTTGTTGGGGAGGCGTTAACCCGACTACCACGCAGTCCAAAAGGAACCAATTCACATTGGCAATATAGGACAAATAAATTTGTTATACCTACGACTGTGGATATTCGTGGGAGTCCCAGAAACATCCCCGTTTTATATTTTAAAATAACCTCTTTTTAACACGCTTTTATTAGTTTGGCCTGTATGTATGTATGTAATGGAATCTTTGAGCATAATTTTCCATTATCCTTATAAGTAAAATTCTTTAAAAAGCAGATATGTTAATAAAAAGCCACGGATTTCAAATGCCGCTTTACGAATACTGAAACTATAAGTCTCTGTCGCTCAGTGACAGAGCACTGGTCTTGTAAGCCAGGGGTCGTGAGTTCAATCCTCACAAGATTGTGGTGTTATCACGATTACTGTGGCATATTAGAAGAAAACAAAAAAAACTCGAAGGATGGATTTCACCAGCATTGCCAAATCAACAGTCCGTTATTCTCCTCCTATAGAGTAACAGTCCGTCAAATACAGCAAATGAGCTTCAAGTTACAATCAACAAATTTTAGCAACCAATAGCTATGAAATGTTGTAAACAAAATACTGTCAAAGTATGAGATGACAGCTTGTCATTGAAACATCACTAGCTTATTGAATATTAAGAAATTACATATAATTTAGTCAAAATTTAATAAAGTGTTCGATTTTTGAAAGAATTCATGTTTTTATTTAATATTGTCGATTGTTTATTCATGTTTATACTATTTACTTCAATTGATATGCGATTTTACTGATGCAACATCACCTACCTTGTGTTTTTTCCTATAAACCTCTTGCAGATAGCCATTAAGCACCTACTTGATGACAGGCTCTATCAAAAATTTCATAGATATTGCTCGTTCCCAAACATTCATTCATTTACTTGCCCTTCATCAGCACCGTCAATTGATATTCCCACAAAACCATTCAGTATTTTTGATATCCATACATCCATAAAGTATTCTTTGGTTGTTCAGGAACTGAACAAACATCCACACTATATTTACAGCGATTAAGAAATACTCAAATCTATGTCGTAAAGCTACCGGCAAACTTAAAACCTGCAAAAAAAATGGAATTTTCAATAGCTTTCTTGTTTCACTGAGTACACATTCTAGGTTATATTTATATTAGACATTATTTGAATAGCAGCTGATTATTACATTTCAAAACTCACTCCCCAACGAGTGACACATGTGTGGGATCCGTAAACCCTTGGTCCCAGTGGAGTAAGCTCCGCCAACTGTTTAAATATACTCTACTATGCTTTATAAGACTATATGGAATTTTTCCCAAAATCGTTGTACAGCACTTGAAAAAATGCAAATGAAAATTTAAAATTGTTTCCATTACGCTGCAAAAGAGCTCCGTCGGTACCTCGGGTTATACATTTTGACAGTAGGGATGTTCGATACGATCCTATATTTAGAAGTATCGATACTTTTGCTTCCCATACCCGATATTTTGGATCGATATTGTTATATACAACACTTGGGTGTATCGATACATTTGACGAGTATCGTCATCTTTCGATCCGGACTGTGTCAGAAAGAGTGACTAACTTCAGATTACTTTTCTTTTTTGATTCCTTCCGCTGGATATTGATAATTTTATTCCAATATTATAGAGTATCGATACTTCCTGAAATGATAAGAATCGATACATATCGATGCTATAGTGCATCTAAACATACCTAATCTTGACAGCTTGTCGTTCTTGTCAACTGGGCTACAGGGTGCGGTGTTGCCTTTACTATATTACATTTTGCAAAAATCTTATGACAAATAAAAGCTTCAAATTAAATATTGACGAATATATATATATATATATATACTAAGTGAATGGGGCCGTGTTCAACAATTTTTGTAATTATTTCGTTGGTTTTAATGTTATGTTTATATTGTCAGTTGTTGTTGTTCATTACCCCTAATGTGTTTAATTTTTCCAATTAAATTAATAATAATTTTGCAAGTTAGACAATAGAACGGTTTTTATTGTTTTACTCAAGAATGGCGCATCAAAGGAAAACAATTCAAGAAAGATCATTTGTTTTAAATTGAACGGGAAATTCAAATATAATTTTTATTCGGCAACTATTGGCATACCATTTTTTCTTTAAAAATATCGAAGTCAATACCCGTACGCACGCCACTGTTAAAGCTAAAAATTATTTCTGCATTTAAAAATATGCAACTTTATTAACTTTCACTATGTACTAAATATCAGGGAAATATCTGAAGCGGTTCTGAAAATATTAATTGATTTCCATTTTTTTCCTAAAACTTCAACACCACGAGTTTTTGTAAGGAAACATTTTTGGACCACAGTTTATAAAGCAAACTAACAATAAATATGTGCATATCATTAAGAAACACCCTGTATTTCTTTTATCCCTCATAACCTTTTTCTTATTGACCATTTATCAAAGTTGTTGTTATAATTATATTACAAATAAGCATTTAAAAAAGTAAACATACTTACATAAAATCGTTATGCCGATTAGTGTGCATATTGAATAACCAAAAAATACCCCAGAATAGATCAATTTTAGTTCCCTATATCCCTAAATTCAAGACCCGTGTGATGGGGGTAGCAGCCCATGCATTGAAAAATACACCTCAAGAACTAATCATACGTTTAATGTTAATTTCTACAAATTCAATTGATGTATAACTCCTGGATTTGAGCATGAATGTTTTATACAAGATCTAATTCTCGCATTTATAATTGATCTTTCATAAATATAGTAGGAACATTGTGTAAAAATTTCATCAAAATCCAGCAATGCTTCTCAAGTTGTAGACGAAAATGAATGATATACTCGTACATGTCATATAACATCATTTTCCGTTTTGGCGATAACAATACTTTTTCCGCCATTAATAATAATAATAATTAACGTCTTTTATTTGTAATATTCTTACAGGAGGCGAGATTTAGATTATACAGGGTGACCTTGAAGTTGAGTCATTAATTTTCAGATAATGATTGTAGAAGGAAGATGAACCAAAATATGTGTGTAAAAATAAAAAAAAATAAAAAAAAAATTTTACCTTGTTTTACAAAGTATCCTCCCGACAAGTATTTCAGTGCGGACCTGTATTTGATCGTGAGGTCCCCTGTGAGGTCTGAAGTCACCTGATTCACGAGCCCGTTGTACTACATTAACAAAGGCACGAGGGGTTGGTTGCACTCGATTGGGAAACCGATCCGCATAAACATGTGCCATTTTTTATTTCGTTTGAGCCACGCAACAGACACTATTCACACGCGACTGACATTGACTGTATGTATAACTGAACTGAATAAAATAAACATCGTTCCAAATTCTTTCGCTTTTTTGTTTCCGATGCGATGAACCGATAAGGTGGATTATATCCGTTGTTGCCAAACACGAGTACATGATATTATTGAGACAGGGCGGTACTCAAACTTCCAAAGGGCTATAACTTTGTTACTTTAATTTTACCAGAAAGGTGGTAAAGGAAAAAAACATTTCTTTTGATCAGATCTACTCACTGTTAAAATAAATGACTCAACTTCGAAGTCACCCTGTATATCTATTCTACCATCTAACCCCCGTAACAATACGAGATGTAAAAAAAAAGAATTTGTTGAAAATTAATAGGCACCTGTATACAATAACGAATAATCCAAGTAAATACATAAGGAAAATATGAGGACACTTATGGGTTACAACCGATTTCGCTGCTGATCAAGAAGAACTTCTTTCACTTTTTTCTTGAATTTGGATAATGGATTGGTTTCTTTTAAACTGCGGTCTAAAGAATTATATGATTTGATCGCATTGTAAATGTATGAATTCTGAAATAGAGACGTGCTGTGGCGTGGAATTGAAAAAGTCTCTCTATATCTAATATTAATACGATGCATATTCCCTCTACGTATGAATTTGTTTACTAAATATGACGGTGTTTTTGAATAAAGAACCTTATGAGTCAGATTTAGGAGCTGGTACTTATACATTTTATCAATTTTCATCCATTTGAGTTCATTAATGGCATTCGATATATGATCATATTTTCTGAGATCATTTACAAGCCTGCAACATGTATTCATAATACTTTGAATACGATTTCTTGTTATAATATCTAAATAGGGATAGTAAACCACTAAGCAATACGATATCTTTGAAAATACGAAATATTCACACAATTGCTTTCTCGAAGATTTATGTAATATAGCCTTATTTGCAAATAAAACTCTGGAGAATAGCGTAGCACTGAGTAATTAGATAGTTTGCGTGTGCAACAAATTTTAAGTCATCATCCACTATAATACCTAGGTTTTTCGAATGATCCACAGGAATTAATTTATTACCTTTTAAATGTATGTCTATGTCCTTATTTAAGGTATTCTTTTTTGTTCTATTTGCGTATACCAACATATTTGTCTTCAAAGGGTTCAAACGAAGATAATGACTACTACTGAACTTTTCAATTTGGGCAAGATCTTGATTAATTTTATTATTTGCCGTTTCCAAGTCATTACTCCTAAATGAATAGAAAATTTGATTATCATCTGCAAAAAATTGTATGCTGCATGATTTTACCTCTGTTTTTAAATCTGAGATATATAATGAAAATAATAGCGGTCCGAAGACTGATCCCTGTGGTACACCAGAACAAATTTTTTGTTCCGTAGAGTACTGTTGATTTAGACGAACTTTTTGATACCGATTTTCAAGGTAGGTTTGAATAAACGAAAGAGGTTTTTCAGAAAATCCATAGTAACTGCATTTAGATACAAGAAGTGAGTGTCAAATGCTTTAGTAAAGTCAAGAAGTATGAGAGCTACTGCTTTTTGGTTATCAATTGCCATTGTTATATTGTCTGTTAAATCACAGAGTGCCAAAGCTGTATTATGACCTTGTCGAAATCCAGATTGTTTAGATTGAATAATTTTGTTAGAATATAAGTAGGCGCAGAGCTGCTCGTAAACAACGCGTTCCAATACTTTAGAGAAAATTGGCAGTAGACTGATCGGTCTCAGTTGACCATAGTTAGTAGGATCAGAACACTTAGGTAGCGGAATAACTATAGCGCGTTTCCACTGATTGGGGAAATATCCCCTCTCTAAACAGCAGTTTATAATATGCGTTAAGTACACATCAATTTCAGGTATACATAGTAGTATCATATGCAAAGTTATTTCATCTGTACCACTAGAATTTGATTTTATTTTATGTATAATTTTAACAACGGTGTCAATAGTCACTTTATTAAATTGAAATCTGAATTTTGAGTTATTTTTATTAGCTCGGCAATATTCAATTTTATCAGCACAAGCCAAATCACTATTCTCGAAAATTGAAATTAATGCCTCATTTATTTTATACGGATCTTA